ACTTTCATATGATATTTACACTTTACGTAAAACAAATATAAATAAAAAAAGAAGTTACAAAATAAAAAAAGATTCTATAAATACATAATTATTCTTTGTCTATTAGTAATTAAAATAAAAAATACAATGGTATAAATAATATAAAAAAAAGTCATTAAATAAATACTCAATAAAAAGTTGTAAAGTAGAAAATGATTTTTAGAAGCGCAATCAGAAGTTCCATCAAATTATTTATGTAAATATGACAAACTTAAAACCCAATACTTTATTTTTTTTTTGCTTCTATAAATAAAGTTTATTCAATTTTTATCTAAAATTTGAAAGTTTAACTGGTTGCGTTGCTAAGAAACTTTTACCTAATTTCAAAATATTTGAATTAAAACTCTCACATTTGTTCTCATCCATATCTGCTTAATTAATTTTTTCTTGAACTTATTAAAATGTTTTTATTTCACCTAAATATTTTTTTTGAATTTATAATATAACCATTTGAACATTTTTATATGCCAAAGGTAAATCTTAAGCTCCTGCTTTCGCTTGCGAAAGTCAATAAAATAAGTGTCAGCTCTAAAGCCTTTAATTCATTAGAGTTTGAATTTATTTTAATTATTTAAAATAATACCCCAAACATTTTTGTTGAAACAATTACCTTCTTAATCCCTTAACTTTGTAATTAAATAAAAAAGTTTTAAGAATGTTGGGTATTCTGTATGGTTGTCATAGTTCCCATTTCCTAAGCTTTGAATGACTATACTTAATATGAATGTTTTTTTTTGTTAACATTTTTTTGCTCAATACTATTTATTTTCAATATATTACTGCTCATAATCAATTAATATTATCAAAAAAACATATCACAAAACATTAAACATTATAAATACACACAAAAAAAAAATGCATTCCCAAACGGTATAAACGTTTACTTCTCAATTCCATACTAAATAATTTATGTTATTGTCAAACATGAAGAAAATTTTATCTTTAAACATTGATGTGCAATCATAGCAGAGTAGTCTGGGGCTAGTTGAGAAAATTTTATTTAATCTTGAACAGTACGTCGAATTTACATATTATTTTAATTATTAGATAATATAACCTGCTAAAAACTAATTAATAAAAAAGTATTTTTTTAATTTTTTTTTAAACATATTTCCTGAAGTTTACCGAGCGTCTCAACCTGCGTAAACGTGGTAATTATAGCAACTGTGAGGGGAAAGTTGAGAAATCAACATATAAATAAATATGCATGGCATGAAACTTAAATTAATCACCAATAAAACTATCAATAACAGTAAAGTAGTTTAGTTTTTTTTTGTTTTTTTTTTCAAAGCTGTTTAACTTCTATTAGTCAAGACGACACCAAACTATAGTAAAGTTTTATAGAACAGTAACGCTTAAAAAAAGTGTTACTGTTCTCTTTAAAACTTGAAAAGTATTATTTTTTCAGCCTCCACTTAAGTGAAGGCTGGGAAAAAAACTATGCATGTACTTTTTTACTTTTTTAGTCCAACTGCTGTTCAACAACCTTTAGTAGCCCATTGTTTTACCATACCCTAACTTTCATTCATCAGATTTTTTGCCATGTAATGTGTATTTTTTAGATGTTTCAACTAGCCCCGCTCTACCCTAACACAAAAAAAAATTAAAAAATTCTTATACTTATCTGAAATAATATAGATTTAATAAACTACATAGTTTATTGTTGTTGTTGTTTTAGTTGTTGTTTTTTTTTGTTGTTGTTGTTGCAGTTTTTATTGTTGTTGTTATTGATGGTGTTGTTGATGTTTTTGTTGTTGCTGTTGTTGCAGTTGTTGTTGTTGCTGTTGTTGTTGTTGTTGTTATTGTTGTTGTTGTTATATTTTACAAACATTTTCAACTCAACTTAATATTTTTATAAGAAAATTTTTAACTTTAAACATTAATGCGCAATCATAGTAGAGTAGACGGGCTAGTTGAGAAAAATTTATTTAATCTAACAGATATCATGAACAGTACGTCGGATTTACAAATTATCTTAAATGTTGGATAATTTAACCTGCTAAAAACTTGTTAATAAAAAAGCATTTTTTTAATTTTTTTTTGAACATATTTCCTGAAGTTTGCTGAGCTTCTCAACTAAATGTTTGCCGAGCTTCTAAACGTGGTAATTTAAGCAACTGTGACCGGCAAGTTGAGGAATTAAAAAACTAAACTACTTGAGTAAAGTAGTTTAGTTTTTTTTGTTTTTTTTTTCAAAGCTGTTCAACTTCTATTAGTCAAGACGACACATTTTAATGTCTCATCTGACTTTAAAGTGTTAATTATTCTTTTTAAAACCTTACTAAAGTTAAGCTTTAAAGAGATTACTGTTCTCTTTAAAATCAAACTATAGTAAAGTTTTATAGAACAGTAGCACTTAAAAAGAGAACAGTAACACTTAAAAAAAGTGTTACTGTTCTCTTTAAAATTTAAAAAGTATTGTTTAGTCAGCCTCTACTTAAGTGAAGGCTGGGAAAAAAAACTATATAAGTACTTTTTTTACTTTTTTAGTCCAACTGCTGTTTAACAACCTATAGTTGCCCATTGTGTTACCATACCCTAACTTCCATTCATTAGATTTTTTGCCATGTAATGCGTAGTTTTTGAGATGTTTCGCTCTACCCTAACACACAAAAAAAAAAAATTAAAAAAAGAAATTCTTATACTTGTCTGAAATAAAATAGATTTAATAAACTACATAGTTTATTGTTGTTGTTGTTTTAGTTGTTTGTTGTTTTATTTTTTTATTGTTGTTGTTGCAGTTTTTATTGTTGATGTTATTGTTGGTGTTGTTGATGTTTTTGTTGTTGTTGTTGTTGTTGCTGTTGTTGCAGTTGTTGTTGTTGTTGTTGTTGTTGTTGTTGTTGTTGTTATTGTTGTTATTGTTGTTGTTGTTATATTTTACAAACTTTTTCAACTCAATATTTTTATATATCTATTCTGATTTTTAATAAAAAGGAGTAATATATTGGAAAGAAACTAGTGAACTAGTTTCTAAAACATTTTCTAATTTTCTAAAACTAGTTTCTAAAACATTTAAACTAATTTTAAATTTTTTAAAATTTATTTTAAATTTGTGCAAAACATTTTAAATTTCTTAAACTGTAAAATGTAAACTATCAGCACATAGGAACAGAAAAATATCAGCACTTACAAACAGTCACAAAAAATTTATGAGACTTTATTGAATGACAAGTAACAAGAGAATGAATTCTAGTTGATGGCACAAAAGATGCTAGCTCTGTAGAGCAGTGCCCATTATAGTATTTATGGAAAAGAGAAAGAGAAGCAACGTTACGACGATGTGATAATGGTTCGAGGGTTGCTGCAAAATTAGGTCCTACTATGTATACAATGCGTTTTCGCACCTTTCTAAAAGAGAAACAGCATCGTTGAAAGATCCGTCTCAGTTATGGCAACAATATTCCACCTCTATAAATCTTACGGATTAAAGACTTATAGAAATAAAGAATAAAACCAGAAGTAGATGCTAATTTTGCAACGGATATTGGTTTCCAAAAAAAAATGATATATGGTTTCCAAAAAAGATCGAAAGTAAAAGTTAATCCTAAAAGAAAAAGGGTAGATGACTTATAAAGTAATTTACCGTTGGATTAGATATTAAATGTGATTCTGCAAATAAAATGAGGAGGGGAAGGGAGAGCGAATACTTAAAAAGTACCGACTCGTTATTTAAAAAAAAAAGTTCTCAAAAATAAAATTTACCCGTCTGTCAATTATCCGACTAGCCGACTAAATTCGTATAAAAACCGACTATAACTTGCAAATCGCCTTCTTTGAGGGGTGGAACACCTCTCCCCCACCCCTTCCCTACACACACCCCGTAAAATTGCCCTTTGATTAGATATATGGTTTTCATGAGAGGTTTGTTGTAAATAGATATAATAACTGTTTGAAATAAATACTAAGTTTTGTTGGATTTGAAAATCACGAGCCATTACAAATCTTACGCCGTTACAGAAGAGATACGAATTAAAAAATGATAATTTTTTGAGACAACTGTACAAAGTTATGTAGACAGTAATGATGCTTAAGATATAAGATTGTAAAACAATGAGAAATAATAAGAAACCAATGATAGATATTGTGGTACCTTAGAAGTTTCTGGAAATGAAAAAGAGTGTTGACAACCTATTTCAATTAAAAAAGAATGATTTAACAATCTCAAAAAATTTTCCAAATATACAACTTTATGAAGGAAACTGTCAAAGTGTTTTCTAGAATGAACTTTATTACTTTTTAAACTCTTTAACAAGTGCTTAACTGAATATTTGAACTTAGTTGAAATTGAACAGAACAACCATAGCGCAGTGGTTAGCCCGCTTGCCTCAGAAACTAGAGATCCGTGGTTCAATGCCACCTGTAGGCGTGTTTAATAACATTGGTAAGGAAGGTGGTGTAAACTTTCTTTCAAATGCTCTTTTGTGGTGCTCTGTGATAAGACCATAAAGAATTCTTGAGGCACCTAAAATAATTACTTTAAAAAAAAAAAGTTTGTTTTCCTATCTGCTAGAAAATGTCATCAATTTCCAAAATATTCTGATCAAAATATCGGAGGTTGGACGACCCCTTTAGCTTCTACTTGATTAGTGATTAACTGCTTCTACTTTGATTACTATATATTGTTTAATGATTTATTTTGAAATATTTAGTTTTATATATATTCTTTATGTTGTTAAACTTTATTTTATGTTTTGAAATATCTGGTTAGATTTAAATTTTATTTCTAATTTATTGCAATTATTTAACTGGTTAAATTTTTACTGCACTGTTAAACGGTTCTTAGTGACAGGGTATTACAATCCTCTTTGAGTCTCCGTGTTCTGATATTTAATGTACAACGATATTTATATCATAATGTATTGTAATCAGAAAAAAAAAAAAAATTACAGTTTTTTTCATCTTTAATTAAAAAGCTTATAATATCTCATCAATTGTATGGCAATCAATACATATCTTGG